CCAGGGTTGGGTCAGGTGGCTGTCCCTGCTTGGCTGGACCAGGAGTCAGTACCTGGATTCAAATGTGACCCTTCCACAGACATGTGCTGTGACCTCGAGCAGTCATTTCTCTCTAGAACTTGGCTTCCAGGCTTAAAAGATGGTCATGAACAGGGGGCTTCATGACCCTGGGTTTGACATACTGGAGCATTCTACTGATTCTTGTTTCGAAGTCTCCTCCCTGCACTGGGGCTTCAGGATGAGCGTGAGTAGGGAACAGCAGCCTGAAGGATGTATATTTTCCCAGGATGCCTATGGGAAGCTGGGAGGTGCTGAGTGCTCATAATTTCACAAGTGCTCAGACTCTGGGTGCTGAGAGGGCTTTGGGACTTGGTTAGCACCATACCTCTATTTCCTGATGAGGAGGCAGGCCCAGAGGGGTTTAAATGATAGACCCAGAGTCACACACACAGCAGCTGGGGTCAGGGCTATGACTTCACACACCCTAAACTTGCCCCATTTTGCTTTTCAGTTCATAAAGCCTTGACACCATCCTTAGCCCATTTGCCCCTCACAACAACCATGTGTGTTTCATGAGCCAGGGATGGTATCCTTGAAGGCAGATGAAGTGAGGCTCAGAGAAGTTCTGTAACTTGCTGAAGTCACACAGCAAATTACTGGCAGAGCAGAATTTGATAGACCGTGGACCGACTGATGTTCTCCTTGCCTGTGTTCTTGTTATAAATAGCAGCTCCCAGTTCCTTTGTCCAGGATTTCCCACTCTGCCCTGGGGCGGGCCCCTCCTCACTGCCCTGTGGAATCTCCAGTCCTTTGTGGCAGCCCATCTGTTGCCATGGCACCAGATTATGATGTCGCAGACCCTGGATGACTATGTATCACTCCTGGGCTGTGGAGTACAGGGACTCACAGAGGTGGGCATTGTCCAAGGGGCAGACTGGCATGGAGGGACATAAATCCCTGGAAACAGGGAGCTATGGCCTTGAGCCCAGCTGGGGAATCACCCTGGGAACCAGAGCCAAGGCCAGGAGAGTGGAGGTCTGGCACGGCTTGCTCTGACAGCCTCAGAGCGACTGCTCAGCCCTCATCTCTTGGCTGGGCTGATCCAGCCTCTTGATAAGGGACTCTAGGGCTCATTATGCTGAATGACTTGACACTGGGTGTTCACTGGGATCTCCCAGCAGAGTCTTTTGCTTCTTGTCCATACAGCGCTGCTACAATACAAAGACACATCCCCACTTGCCCAGAGAGGGAAGGAGTTTGCCCTGGTTCACCCAGCGAGGCGTGACTGTTGCACCAGTATTCCGTCTCAGCTCTGACTGCAAACCCTTCCTGGCGGTTACGCTTCTGTGGCCCTCAGAGGTGGTTTACTCTAGTGCCCAACCCGGAATCAACCATGCTGCCTCAGTTTCCCCATGTGGTCCATTAGCAGGGCACCAGTCACCATAGGCCCAGGTTTACTCTGCTACACGGTTCTGAGCACTTTCCCGAAGACCCGAGAGGCATTTAGCGTCATTTGCTTCTCTGGGGTCCTTCTTAGCCTCATTCTTAGCAAGGTAACATTGAAGTGGCTGAGGACCTTTGGAGGAAAGGGCCCAAGCTTTGGCAGCTGCCACACAGAATTGAAATCCCACTTCAGCCACCTACCACCCTCACTTCATTGAACCTCAATTTCCTCTTCTGTAAAATGGAATTAATAACAGCTACTGCCATAGCTTTAAGGAGTCACTTAAAGGGATTTTAGGTGAAAAGTTCCAGGCCAGAGCCAGGGTGGAAAATGTCCAAACTGGTCTAGACAGTGAACAAATCTATACCCCAAACACCACCATGGGACACCATCTCATGGGCCTGGCTAACTTCAAAGCTGCCCTTCAGGACTCCGATGGTACTTGGGCCTCCTTGCCCAGTGCCTTCCAGGTCTTGGCACATGGAGGAAAGCCAACCTCACCCCCGGGCTTCCAGAATGCCAGGGAGGGCAGGGCTCTTGGAAGGGATCTGTCCTATGCCCAGTGACAGCCCCTTCATCACCTTCCTCTTCAAGCCTGCCGCAGTTGCTGTTGTGGGCGCTGCTGGTTGTGCGTCCTTCCCAGACTTGCTACTTGCTCTGAGCTGGGCTGATTCTCTCCTGTGTTCTCAGCACAGAACCTGGAACAGATCTGAGGGTCACTGAACGCCGGGCTGAAGCTTCATGGGGCTTTCCCACCTGCTTTGGGCTCTTCCTCCACATCTTAGACAGCTGAGGAAGTCCTGGGTCTAGATTTCCCGATATATCATGTGGTTACTCATGAGCCCTTTGGCATGGGGTTTCCTGGGTAAAACCTTCAGCACAGAGACTAGCATGTAGGAGGCACTCGCTGAATGTTAGAACAGGAGGAAGGAAACACTAGAACACACCTTTCTTTTTCGGGGTGCCGAGCATCCTCCGGTGTTCACACTGGGAAGTACTGCAGGTGCTGTGGTTCGTTATGGTACTTAGCGTAAGTGATCACAGATTGATTTACTGATAGGTGATAATGGTATTGGTATCTGTCACTGACAACCTCTCAGCACAGAGCACACAGAGAAGACCACTTGAGGGCCGTGGGCTGAGAGACAGGAGAGTTGGTTCCCTTCCTTTGCTGTTTCCCTGAGCTGGCCTACTGTCCTCTCTGGGCCTCAGTCACCCCACCTGTAGGTAGACTCTGATTCCTCTGGTTTTTTCTAGCCACACACATACAGAGGCATTCTTCTAAGGCAAGAAAATTCATCTTAGAACACAGACATACTGCAAGGACTCTATTGAAAAGAAAGGCAGAAATGGAACCCAGGGGCACCCAGGGCACCTAGTCTCTCTCCTAAGTCTCTCCCAGGCTTCCCAGAGCAGGGGGAGCTGTTGTATGGCTCTCAAAGCAGCCAGGGGACCCATGGATAGCTTTAAATAAAACTGGCCCATGGGAAGTAGCTTCCCTGGGTGAAGGTGAGCCCCAGCCCCAGCTAGCTGTGTTTCCATTGGATGCAGTGTCTCCCCACTGAGATCTACACTGAGTCAGATCCACAGGGACAAGGAAGAAAGGAAATCTTAGGCCAGGTGCAGTGGCTTATGCCTGTAATCTCAACACTCTGGGAGGCTGAGGCGGGTGGATTGCCTGAGCTCAGGAGTTCCAGACCAGCCTGAGTGCAATACAGTCTCTAAAAAACAGCTGGACGTTGTGGCAGGCACCTGTAGACCCAGCCACTCCAGAGTCTGAGGCAAGAGAATCACTCCAGCCCAAGAGTTTGAAGTTGCTGTGAGCAACACCACAGTACTCTAGTTGGGGCAACAAAGTGAGACTCTGTCTCAAGAAAAAAATAGCAAATTATATTGGACTATGTGGATCAGTGATGACTTAGAGCAGAAGTCATCAAACTATAGGCCCCAGGCCAAAGCCAGCCTATTTTTTAAATAAAGTTTTATTGAAACACAGGCATGCTCATTTACTTGTTGTCTGTATCTGCTTCTGAGAGTTGAGTAGTGTGACAGACCATATAGCCTAAAATATCTAAAATTTGCACCGTCTGCTCGAGAGGGACATTCAGGGTATTATGGAGCTCACGGTGGTGGGGGCTGACCAAGATGAGAGATGGCTTCTTGGAGGAGATGATCTCTAAGTCTAGTGTGTAATGGAAAGAAGGCAGAGTTGGGGGAACTGGCTTACAAAGGACAGCTTGAACAAGGTGTGATGGTATAATAGCGTGGGGGATGCAGGGACCTACCAGCTGTTGAGGTGAAGCTCAATTAGAAAGTGGAGGTGGGGAGAGACAGACTGAGGCCAAGGAACTTCTCAGCCCCTGGGGAAAGGCTGCATCCTGATGGCCCCTGAGGTTACATCCAGCCCCAAGGTAAGCATTCAGGAGGGCAGCCCCAGATCCCTCATGAAAGCCCATCAGGGCAACTGCCCTCGCCCTGCCCTGGCCTGCCAGACGCAGTCTGTGCTGAGTGCTGGTGTTCAGGAAGGAGCTGGGCCCCAGGTCAGCACAGAGCATTAATAATAGGGGCATTTTAGGATACGGCAGCCCTCTCTTGACCCTTCCCTGGCCCCGAAACTCTAATTCCTCTCAGGACAAGGTGCAGGGACAAGGCAGAGTGTCCTGGGCTGGCACTGGTCCCCACATCTTGTCCTAGCTCTGCTACCAGCCGTGAGATCTCAGCAGTTACATCCCCCGTTTAGGTACTGAACCCCCATTTATTTTGCTTCTAATTTCAAACTCGAACCATGAAAACAGCAATAGCTGCTACTTGCTAAGCATCTGCCGTGGGGCAGAATCTGCTACATGTTCTTAATACATTATAACTTCTCGTTACTCCTCAGTCTGTGTTTTCTTCTCCCCTGTATATAGATAAGAAAACAGGCTCAGAGGTTAATTAACATCCTCAAGGTCACACAGACAGGAGGAGGCAGGATTGGGATTCAAGGCTGTAAGCACCTTGCGGGCAGTGACTGGTTGGGGCGTCTTGGTCAGGAGATCCTCTGCCCACTGCTCTGAACACCTCACTATTCTAACCACAAAGCAGTCATCCAGGGTTAGAATACCTGATGACCAGCTCCCTGGTGCTTGCAGAAGGGGCTTCGACTTCCAGTCTGGTTGGGGCAGGCAGGGAAAGACTGAGAACCCAGGAGGGAGCTACAGCCCCTGCTACAAGGGGGTGGGGACGGCTTCCTGGAGGCCATGGCAATAGAACTGGACTTTAAGGGAACAGAGGGGCGTGGTGAATCCTGTCACCCTTAGTGGACTGGAGCTCTTTGACTTGGAAGGCATGGCCAGGATGTCACCTGTCTTCACCATGTGCCCATGGCATGAATAAACATTCCTCTCCTGCCTCTCACCTGTCTGTGAGGCACTCTCCAGCCTAGCAGGGCAGTGAAAGGTCATGTGATCCACCTTTCAGACCAACATCTTGGTCGCCCACTGCCATCTGACTGTGTGCCCTAGCAAAAGACTCCTGTACCCACCAGGCCCGTCATGCTCTTCTCCTTGCCCCACAGCCAAGAAGACCTGTATGGACAGTGACTTTACCTGTGACAACGGCCACTGCATCCCTGAGCGATGGAAGTGTGACGGCGAGGAGGAGTGTTCCGATGGCTCTGATGAGTCAGAGGCCACTTGCAGTGAGTGCTGCCCCTGGGGCTGGGTGAGGGTGGGCCATGCTCTGGGCCTCAGTTTCCTCAGATCTTCCTCACTGGGAAGTTGTGAGGCACAAGTGGGGTGATCACTTGAACACCTCGTGCCGTGTCTTTGGGGGCCTCCTGGAAAACAGCTTAGGGAGTCCAGTTGCTCCTTTCCAGTGGCCTGTTTCTGGGGCTTTCCTCATGGCCCTCTTTTCGGCTGCACCTGTTCTGTAGCGACAGGAGCTAGATGGCGCTCCCTGAACCTCCTCCAGGCCTCCCCGCTATTGTTCTCAAGGACCCTGATCATAATTCCAGTAGTGCTTAATGGCAGCTGGCACTTAGGAAGCATTTCCTGTGCGCTGAGCTCTTTGTGTGCATTAATGTCTCTTATCCCCACAGCAGCCTCTTGCGGCAGGTACAGTCACTTTCTGAATTTTGTAAAGGAGAACAGTGAAGCTCAGAGAGGTTGAGTGACTTGCTGAAGGCTACCCAGCCCTTCCCACTATCCTGGGTGGGCTGAGCCTAGCAGCCCCTGCCTCCTTGGCCAGCTGGGTGCAGCAGAGGCAGCCGCGGGAGTCCCAGGCCTGCCTCCCACCCTCAGGGCTTTGTTTCTCCATGATTTATTTTCCAGGCCCTAATCCTCAAAGCAAACTTACACCCAGCAGGTCATTCCATGACATTTGTTAAATTAAAAAGGAGATGAGAAGGGGGCAGGAAAGGACCCAGAGGTCCTGAGGCAGAGCTTCAGCGTGAGCTGCAGACAAAAGGTGTGGGAGGGGGAAGCAAGTGGAGGACGTGGGGCTGGCAGAGACCTGGGATCCCCTCTTCAGGAGTAGCAGTCGCCCCAGAGGCAGAGGTGGGGACAATGGAGACCAGAGTCCTATCCCGGGCTGCTGCCGGTGATAACTGGGTTTCCTTGTCTCCTAGCAACAGAGCTCTGCATAGGGAAAGAGAAAGAGAGAGAGAAAGGCAGAGCGGGAGGACCCCTGCCAGAGACAAGGGAGCCCTCATTTCCTGCACAGCTGCCCCCATTCTCCGCGTCGTGCTGTAGGCCCCATCCTTTCCTCACCCCACCAAGTATCCAAATTCCGTGCCGTCCTGGAGGCTTCTCAGCAGGAGGGAAGCCGGGTGCTTTGTCCTGAGCTTCTGAAGGAACAAAGCCCTGCCACGCCCACTTGTGACTTTCATCCTCTTGGCAACCTTGGGAGGGAGGTGGATCCCCATGAGAAAGAAACTGAGGCTGGAATGGGTTCAGCTGCTCGCCCAAGGCTGCCCAGCTAGCAAGAGGCAGAGTCTGCTTGGAGAGGGGGGCTGTAGCCACAGGGGATCAGCCTCCTCAGCCACCATCCCCTGATCCAGCAGCTACCGGGACACAGGGGTGAGGGCAGGGAAGGAGAGAGGAGCCTCCTCGTGGTCATAGGCTGGGGACTGTCTGGGGGCTGTGCTCCCCCTTCCCCCCATATCTCTCTTTGTGTTGATGTCCCTTTCCAGCCCTGCTCTCTTGGGCTGCTCCCTTCCTTGTGCTTCCGCTCTCCTGGTCCTTCCTCTCACCATCTCTCTCCCTGAGCAGCCCCATGTTTCCCTCTGTCCTTCTGCCTGTCCCCATCCCAGCACTTGCTGCCTGGCCACCCTACGAGCTGTGCAGAGACCCTCCTGTCTCCCAGACCCACTTTTGGCAGTTGGGAGCTGGAGGCCCAGAGGAGTTGATAGGGTTGTTTCAAAGACAACCTGTAGCTTAAGCGGCTAAGGCACCAGCCACATACACCAGAGCTTGCAGGTTCGAATCCAGCCTGGGCCTGCCAAACAACAATGACAACTACAAC